GGGGGGGGGGGGGTAAACAAGGTGCATTTATTTATGTTCTCAATGAAAATGGTCAATGGAAAGACAGGCAAATATCTCTCTGATATACAGTTGAACCTCTCTACAATGGCCACCTAGGGGACAGAATAAAGTAGCCATTGTAAAGAGGTGGCCACTGTAGAGAAGTTTTAAACAAGAGTCAATGTATGGATTTAGAAGACCTAACTTCATGACCCTGATCCACTTTGTTTCGCACACAGATTACTGAGTATTTTCTTTTTTAACTAACATCATAGAATTAGATTTTTTTTACTATAATTTGAACTGTAACAGCTTTCCATTTCTTCATTAAGCCCCTGAAGAAGGACAGCTTATCTCTCCAAAATATTGGGAAACCTCAAGTAGTTTTTGTCGCTGCTGTTTTGTTATACATGTTTTATATTACTGCTACCACTCATGTAGACCATGCCACTCATTGCCAAATTCACTATGTTTTAGGGATTCTGGTTCCAAAAGACACCCTGTTCAAGAAACTAAACATTGTATACCCTGTTTTGTCTACGCCATATTATAGGGGAATACTCACCTCCCCACCCCTCCCCCCTTTCCCACCCTCAGGAGGGGGAAAGGACGGGAGAAGAGACTCATGCATTGGCATTCACACAACCTATGCAAATGCAAATGATTGACCACTTATTGAGATCTACAACATTTGAAATAGCTTGTGGTCTGATAATTATTCTCATCAAACAGTGAAGCCTAATACACACGTATAATAAAAGCCCGGGGAATAAAAGGCAGACTAAATCCTTGTGCTTGGTCGTGTCTAATTTCATAAGCTTTTTTTATTTAAACTCAGTGGTGAATATTTGAAAAAAAGGCTTTACTTACCTTCATCTCTACCACTCAACTATAGTTACAAGTACGTTCGCTGTGAAATCTCTTGAAAAATAAAATATCCGTTTTTGTATATTTTGCGTCTCCCGCGAACCTCCCCTCCCCGGTGGTCGACCCAGTCTGTTTGCGACCTCGTATATCATGAGCCCACAGTACAAGATACCAAGATGGCGGACGTAAAGGACTTGAAATTGTAAGTTATTTCGTCGATTATAGGTTATTTACTCCTTAAAGTAAACCGTTAGATGGAGTAATTTTGAACATTTTTATAATCAAATGTTTTAGGGAAATATCTGTGCCTTTCTGCACGGAAACTGAAGCGCAAATTGCCTGCAATTCCCTCTCTGTCGATCCAGAGCCGAAGCGTGGAGGTGTCAAGAAAGAACTTATTGTGAAGGGAAATGTGTTACAAGCGTAAGTATTTCCTTGTTTAATTAAAATGTGGTGTGATTTCCTCAGTTCTGTGAAGTCCCATCTATGTCCCATCGGCGTAGCTTTGGTTGATTTGATAATGCATCAAGCCCTATTTTTGCGTTTCCAGATTGGTAACAATAGAGGCTTAAAAAAATTTCAATGAGATGATACCATGTTCTTATTAAATTATTTATTTTTTTCGAGAAATCTTTTTTTTTTTTACTTTCTGGTCTAATGACCTTTACTAGGAATTTCACCATGCCTTCATGGGTGTCTTGAAAACAAAGACCCCCAAGACCTCCTAACACCCCATCCGAATAGAGTACTAAAGTGATGACGTCATAAAAATGAAATTTCTGAAATTGTGGGATTTGTCCGGATATTCTGAAAGAACAATGTCCAAGGGGCCTACCTGCCAAAAATGAGCATTTCGGGGCAAATTGTCTCTGAGATCGTAGCCCAGTTATGCTTAGAAAACTCCATACAAACCCTTCTAATTTTTCTTGGGTCGACCCAAAAACGCAATTAGTGATATGCCGGGTGAGTCAATAAAGAGTCGCGTCGGTGAAGAATAGCCAACAGCATCTTGGAAATGAGGCCAATGTTACTTTGCGCAAAAACATCAACCTTGTTCCCAGGCTACTTTCTCACTTTCACACGATGTTATGTTTTTGATGGTGTCACCTTTATTAGGAAGATTTTTGGTGTCTTTTCATTTACAATCTGCAATCTGTGGTCCGCATTCTGCAGTCTGCAGTCTGCAGTCTGCAGTCTGCGGTCTGCAGTCTGCAGTCTGCCGTCTGCGGTCTGCAGTCTGCAGTCTGCAGTCTGCAGTCTGCGGTCTGCAGTCTGCAGTCTGCCGTCTGCAGTCTGCAAATGTCATACACCGCCATTTAGGTCATTATACTGGGCAAACTGAACTGAAGGTTGATTCACTCAGTTTCCTAACCCTGATCAATAAAGTTCAGAGTCATTCGGACAGGTTCTTAAGGGGTCTTGGGGGTCTTGGGGTCTTTGTTTTCAAGATACCCCGCCTTCACTGTATTAATAAGTTACTCTTCTTGTCAATTGAAATGTTATTGTATTTAAATATTTCATTGTTAAGTCCCCTTTTCACCCCTTGCTTTGTTGCACACAATAAAGAACTTCAATTATTCCTAATTTTTAACAGGTCCATGTCATCTTCTGAAGCCAAAACACTGAGAGTTTGTGCCAACTCATTTCTCGACCATTTATCTTTGGTTGTGGAGACAATTGAAGCATTTGGACCACCAATGGAAGAGTCGTGACTGTGCCATATCCCATTACTCCTTATAAATTGTGAAAATCTAGATTCTCCTCAATTTATTATTCCCATATCTTTTCGGAGAAGTAGTAGAGAGCAGCTGTTAAATTTGCAGGATTGTCCTGGGTGATAATGCCCGTAACTCTCCTCCTCTTGGCTCTAAATGGGTAGGGCTGGTTCCCAGGAGGGGGGGGGGGGG